CTTGAAAACATTTGTAATCTCAATACCCCATTTTGAACGTCTCAGGGGTAAAAAAGGTGACTTTCTGATGCTAGATCAAAGGTAGCTGGCCATCGAGTCCTAAATGTTGAGGCTTGACTTAAGGAAAGAGCTAGTGTGCAACGTGCCGTGGACATGTCCACTTTTCTTGTAGAAGCTCTCCTTTGGCATCTCCCAGATCTGATGCTGGGATTCCCGGGATGCTCATCCTCTGCCAGTCATGCTGTATTCCGGCCTCTGGACTGCTGCTCCCCATCTTGCTTCATCTTCCCTGTGTGAAACCTCACAAACCTCTGGCAAGGGAAAAGCTTTTGGACAAATCTGCAGACTGCTGCGGAAAAATCCTGGCTGGCCTGGGAAACGGAGGGATTTATTATTCTCTGGTTTCCCTTCCCATTAAAGAGGAAAGATTTGGGAATTTCACTCTGTCATGCAAGTTTGGGATGGACCTTCGCGTGCTGGGGTGGATGAGGTTTCCAGATTAGGCCCCATGATTTGGCGTCTCTAAGTCTCTGCCAGCCTAAAAGCCGGGCTAATAAATCCAGACTGAGCATCAGGCTGGCTGTGCCAGTCAGTCAGAGGCAGCGCAGCACATTTTACCCTCTGCCAAGCACATGGGGGGTGAGCACATGCTCTCCGTTTCACCGGCAGCTCCCCGAGGGAGGTACACGGTTTAAAACAGCAGTGAGGCAACCGTCTCTTCCCACAAGGAAAGGTCTGAGGTGAGGTTTTTGTAAGTCGGAGGTGGAGTGCAGTAGGTCCCAGCCATCCTTTTAAAAGCCTCATTTCTGCTGTGACATCCGACAGCTGGGTCAGGGGTTTTTTTCCATTCTTAAAAGGAATTTGCTTTTTACTGCTTCTTTTTGACTTGCCCTAAGCAATACAAGTTCCTTTGGGTGAAACCCCCTCAAAACTTTTTGTTCTTCTGCAGATGGGTTATATTGAAACACTCTGACGAGATACAAACCATTTAGGAAACGCCAGCGCTGGTCACCAGCAAATGTTGTTTTCATACCTGACTAAGGTTCAGCATCTCCCTCTGGCTTTTTCTTTGGAATTATACTACGCTTCGCCGATAATGTACCCACCAAATTAAGCGCATTCTTGTGATGGGACATAATTTGTTGAACAAACGTAATTTGTTCGCAGGGAGAGGCTGGCTTTGGCAGGCAGCTGCTGTGTTTCCAGCGTGGCTTGAGCCACAGTGGAGCAGGACCATTGCCTTGCCTCTGTTCTTTTTTGTTTGTTTTTTGTTTGTTTGTTTGCTGGTGCAGGTAGAAGCTGTTAGCCCCGAGCCCTTCCCCAGGACGGTTTCCTACACCTTTGGTGTGCAGATTGTAGGCAGCTTTTGAACCTCGGGAGCTTGGCTTCCTTTGCGCATTAAAATCCACTGGCTGCTGGACAAGCTGACTTTAATTTCTCGGCTTTGAAATTGGAAACGGGGCTGTGGGCCTGTTTTTGTTTATCCTGGCGTGTGAATCGAATCGGCTGGCAATGACGGTGATCAGCTCATTGGAGTCGTAGGAAGAATAGCATCGTCTCTCTGGAGCTAAGGTGGCTTGAGAAATCCATCGGATCCAGCAAGAACAGCCCCTGGCTGTTACTGCTAGCTCTCACCTCCTCTATCTCCAGAAATCTGCCTTAGTAAAATCCCCCAAATTTATCCCCTTGATGCAACCCCAGAACTCTTTCCACATCTTAACCTTCCCCCCCAAAACAGTGCAAACCTTTGGCTCTGCTCCAGTGCATCTCTTTTACGATTATTTCCCCAAATCATGTCGATCTGAACTGATCCTTTCATCTTGGTAATCCCTTCAAATCAGGCACCGTGGTGTTTTGATGTAATTTTATTTTATTTCCCCCACACACACACTTTGTTTTTTATTTTAAGCTCCACTTAGTATTCATTTTTGGAGTCACTTGGAGCTGCACCTATCATAGGTAAAAGGCTGGTCTGGAAATTCATGTTACGTGTGCCCTCACAGCCAGGCTTTTCTTTTGTGGTCGCTGATCTGTGCACGTGCTGCTCCGGTTGCATTAGGGGGCTGAATAAATGGGCTTTAAAAAATGCTTATAAGGACAGATCCTAAATAGATAGCATCCAGAGCTTATGTCAGAAGCGATCAGATGCTGGCATTTCTCTTCCAAACATCTGCGGAAGCCAGAGATCTTTGTTTGTTTGTTTTTTTTTTGAAAAGTATGTATCTGCTTTGAGAGCCAGGAAAATCCATCAACTGGAAAAAAAAAAAAATAGCTTGGACCAGCTTTTAGCTACTCATCCTGACAGAATAAACAGCGTCAGCTGTAAAGAGATGTTGCCTTCTATGTTTAGGAGTAGTTAACTGTGCTACACCCTCTGCTTGCTTGAATTTTTATCCCCAAGGAGAGATAATCTGATATTGGGCTGGATGGTGTTATCAGGGTGTGGAGCTTGGAAACCCAGCCAGAAGAGTCCTCTCTGCGCTTCTCGTCATCCTGACCAGGGGAGCAGTGGAAACCAGTGCAATTAGCTAAGGATGTTCTTCTGCAGACACTTCAGTCCCTGGCGAGGAACAGAAGCCATTTCATTTACAAACGTAATCCCGGAGAGGAAGAAGCCCTCCCATGTCAAGTATGTTCCTGCAAGCCTTTGAAATGCCGGCACATCCTCTAAAGAGCTTGGACTTTGAGCAGGTTGTTACGGGGCCCCACGTAATTGAGTCGTGTCCCTTTGATGTCCCTGCACTCCTCTGCATACTTGAGACCTGAAGTCACAAAGGCTGCTGGTTGCCTTCCCCCTTCGCCTGGGCAGGGCAGGCGTTGCTCTGCCTCCCTCCAGATGCTTCTGCTCTTCCTGGGGACGGTGGCAGCAGTACCCGGCAGCTCTCCCCTGCTTTAGAGATAAGTGGTATTTGTTCTCCAGGTTTCAACCCCTCTTTGCCCACGTATTTCTGCTCAAACACAAGATTGCTGAAGCCCTGTCCGGTACAACAAGCTTGCGGTGCGTCTCTTGTAAAATTCAGATTTTTTTTTTTTTTTTTTTCTGTGTAGCAGAATGAAACTCCGCTCATTTACACCCGTACTACATCCAATAACAGGGAAAGCTTCCTGAAAAACCAGGGCTAGCCTCTGCCCTGGGCTGTTTACATCTTGTTGACTCATTTGGGAACCATCTCTGTGTCTGAGGCTGGGGTTGACCTGCAGGTTACAGCAGTAGGAGGGTGGCTTTTCTCAGTCTGCACCATCCCAGACCTTTCAGAGCAAAGTGCCCATCTGTTTCTCCATCCTAGGGCAACTCCAGTTAACCCTTTTTCTTTAAAAATAACTTAATTTAAACCCAGCACCTTTCACCTCTTTCTGCCTTGTGGTATCCTCGATGGAGAAGCCCAGCCAGCCGATTCTCTGCAAGTCACGTAGAAATGTTTCTAGCAATCTAGTTTGCGATACCAAGCTTGGGAGAGCAACTTTATGCTCTGCTGGGGAAATATTTAGGCTGGAAACTGGCTGATGTGGATTAATGAATTGCTCACAGCCAGGAAAACTGGAATTGGGAACAAAGAGTGATCAAATGTGACCCTCTTCCGGCACTCTCATCTTTAAGGAGACCTCGGGTATAGCTCTGGCCACGCTATATATGTGCCTCAGCACCAGAATTGTTTCCTACACAACTTTATTCCCTTTTTTCCCCCCGTAGCCATATACCTGAGAGCAGCAACGGAATGCGCTTTGTCCCTGGAGAAAGGCTCGGGCACCCTGCGGCCGTCTCCTCTGCGTCTGGCCAGGGGTTGCTTTTTGGCTGGGCTCTTACCACCCACCACCTGGAAGCCATCGCAATCGAATTGCTTTTCTAAGCTACAGCATCTTAAAATAGCTGCTCTGGTTTCTTTTAAAAATAGTCGTCTCTGTTCTGTATGTCGTTACCTGCTAAAAATGTTTCTCAAAGTCCTATTAGGACAGCGAAGGAGAGAGGTCGGTTTGGTGTATCGGTCTTTTTGGAGAGGGTGATGATGCTCCCGTGGTCACGTTTGCAGCCTTGCCCTTGAGCTGCCCCCGGTTCCCGCAGCTGGGCACACGCAGCTGGGTTTTTTTTGGGTGATGTATTTATGATTATTTTGAAAGCTTGACTGCAGAGGTGGAGGAATCTGCCTGGTGATGGTTGTGGGAAAGAGAATGCTCAGACACATCAGTCCTGGCTAGAGAGGCTTCGGCTTTTCCTGGGAAGCATTTCAGCACCTAACCCATCGATGCGAGGTAGTGACGCAGCACTCACAGCAGTAGGTTGAGAGGCGAGCTTGGCACTTTGCTGTGCTGCAGGAAAATCTTGGGGATATACAGCATTTTCCAAGCGCAGCATGTCGCGACAGCACTGAGCCCAAGAGGCCGTGTCATCCTGCTCGTGCCGTCCTGCTCGGGAGGTCCCTGTCCCCTGCGGAGTCTTTTGAACCTCAAACAAGCGAAGCAAAAAGCCTTTTAATTTTTAAAGGAGCACTTCATTCTGCAGACTCAAGGAGCAACTTAATGTACGCAGCAAAGCGTTTAGGGTTTAATCATGGTGCTTTGCTTAAAAAAAAAAAAAAAAGGATTTGGTGTGTGAGTACCCATACGATCTGCCACAAGCAGCGCCGGATGCGTTAGAATTGGTATTTGCTCTCCCGCCTTCTTTGGGGAGAAGTTACTAGGTATTCGGAGGTAATTATTGCTTTTATTCAGTGCTAAAGCAATGATTTCAAGGGATACATTAGAAAGCTAGCAATTTCCTGCCAGTGAGTGACAGATGTTTTGCCATCCATGAGATGTGCTTTCAGGCTCCTACTAATTACGATGACACAAATTGGCAGTAGTTTTCTTCCCAGGCTCCCAACTCTAATTTTGCCTTCTTTTCTGCTATTTTTTTTTTAAAGGTGGAGTCTCTGTGTTGTCACACTTGAGTAAAACTCACACAGAGTTCGGTGCTTGCGTTCAGTCGTGGTTTCTTAACCTTCCCTTTCTCTATCCCTGCCCAGGTTCGTACCCCTCGCCCAAGGCTGGGGCCACGCTGGTGGTCTACAAGGATTTACTTGTGCTGTTCGGTGGGTGGACACGGCCGAGCCCTTACCCTCTGCACCAGCCAGAGAGGTTCTTTGATGAAATCCATACGTATTCGCCCTCCAAAAACTGGTAAGAGCACATCTGGATTCGAAGCCTAGGCTTTGATCCTGTAAAAATGTGTCTGTACTGCAGCTGGAGGAATGACGGAGGGTGTCTCCAGGCTTGCCTGGGACTGGCTCGTAGGGAAACTTGGTTTCCTAGGTGTGTCTAATCCTGGTGTGTCTGTGATGCTCTTACTGAAACAACAAAAAAGAAAAAAGAAAAAAAAACACAAACAAACCCCACAAGAACACACCGGAGATGCGGGCACGCTGCTGTCTGGCACCTCTTGGGTGGTGGTTGCTGTCAACTCGGACCTAAAATATGCTAGACTCCCCAGATATTCCCATCCAGCCAAGCGGGAAATCTGGATGTGAATATTTAAAACACATAATTGATTTGGCTGCAAGACAGTGAGGTCTTTGAGGGAAGGAAGAGATAAAGCCTTAACTCCTGGAGGTCTTGCTTTTAGCCATGGTCCAGAACTCAAAGCTCCTGTGGCCCTCCAAGGGAGATGTGATAAAGCAGATATCTGCACCGGTTTAGTAAGCTCTCTGCCTTTACAGCTCCTGGGCTCTTAAGAAATCATCCAGCAGCAACCGCGGAGGTGGCAGGAATTTTCCTTTCCCCTTTAAAACACCTTTCGGCTGGTTTTAGACCAGGCTTTCTCACTGATGCTTCTGTGTGAGAAAGGAGCAAATGCTGTATCAAAGCAGCAATGGTTCCTGCTCCTCTTTCATTGAGAACTTTTCATCATCAAAAGTGTCAATTAGCCAGTGCACTTTTGGGCAGTGTCGTTAGAACACTGTAATTAAACCACGTTTGAAATAATTCAGGGCGAACTTAATTGAAAAGGGCGATATTTCCAACTTGGCCTTGTGACTTTGTCATGCTTTAAAAATGTTTAGCGCATTAGTATTTCTAATTAGTTTCATTATTATTTGGATCTTTGGAGGTTTTCCTCTGAAACTTGTTCTTGAAGAGTTTGCCGGGCCCCTGGGATTTTTCATTTTGCCGTTCATCCCAGCACTTTCCTACCCGATGGTGAAAGTCTTCCTCCCTCTCCCCCCAGGTGGAACTGCATCGTGACCACCCATGGCCCCCCTCCTATGGCAGGACACTCCTCCTGTGTCGTCGAAGACAAGATGATTGTCTTCGGGGGTTCGTTAGGATCTCGGCAAATGTAAGTTCGGGGCGAGGAACAACTGCTCCTGCAAGCGAGGAGCGTGTTGTGGTGGTCCCAGGGTAGCTCATAGCGTTTCGGAAGGGAATCTGTGCAGGGTTTTGGGGTCTGTGAATCCCCTCGAGGCTCCAGCCCATGAAAAATCCAATTTTGCCACAAAACTCTGCCCTGACCCCATGTTTCAAATGCCCAGAGGGTGTGGTCGTACCAACGGTATCGTCAACGCCTGTTTTCTCGTCCTTGCAGGAGCAACGACGTCTGGGTGCTGGATCTCGAGCAGTGGGCTTGGTCCAAGCCCAACATCTCTGGGCCCAGCCCTCACCCACGAGGTGGCCAGTCTCAGGTGAGCCCTGCTGCGCTACTTCAGCTCCCCAGCATCAGCACACGCTGCCACAGATAAACCAGACGTGGCTTAATTTCCAGCTTCCAGGCAGCTCTCAGCAGGTCACCTGAAAGCTAGCACCTGATTTCCAAGTTATCTTTGCAGCCTTTGCCCGCCAGGCCCTTGTTTCCTCTATCCGTCTGTTCGGTGAGGGTGCACTTTTAATCTCTCTAACGCTCAGGCAGGTACTGTGCCGTGTCTTGCACATGACTCAGAACTCTAATGAGCATTTCTAGAAAACAAATAGTTATTTTCACCCAGTGATCGTTCCCTGTGGCATTTAAGATCAATGCAGTGTTATCACAAGTTGGTTTGGCTTGGCGCCCTTTTGATTGCTTTGCTCTCCTGATTCTCGGTTCGAGCGGCTCAGGATTGTACCCGCTCAAAGCACGGGTCTGGCAGCGCCTGTTTTATTGCCTGCCCGAGGCAGGGAGCTCGTGGGAGTCACCCGGCTCGATGCAGGTGTCTCCGTCACAGCTGGCATCCCTGCCTTCCCTTTCTGGTCCCCAGGAGGACGGTCGACGCTTCCCAGAGTGCGGTTCATCTCAGCCTAGCGGCGCACCCAAAAGAGGTCGGGGTGGGTCATGCTCGATAGTGCCTTTCTCTCTGTCCACTGGAAAAGGAGACAAAGGGACTGACTAGCTCACCCACCGCCAGCATCTAACAAATACCGCTGCAAGCCCCTGGCCTCCCAGGAGGTCCTTTTACCTTCTGCCCTTTAGTGAAGAGGGGTGTTGAGTCCCCTGGCTCGGCTTCAGGAAGGGGAATTGCTCTCCTCTGTAAGAGGAACTGGTCTGTGACGTGTTTGAGACAACGCAGCGGGGTCAACCCTGCATCCCGCTTTGCCTCAGGCCTAGCAAAACCGGCTCTCCGTCCCAGCTGCTCTCCGTCCCAGCTCCACTCCTCATCCCGGGGCGGACAAAATTCGGCAGCGTCTGTGCGGCTGAGAAGCCGTAACCTGACTCTGCCTGTGCTTGGAGGCTTTGCTGAAAGTGCCGGGGATGGTTTTGCGTCCTTCCCAGTCTGAAATGCTGTTCTTTGCTCCCTCCAGATCGTAATAGACAACGAAACCATTTTAATCCTCGGTGGCTGCGGTGGTCCCAATGCAGTAAGTGTCCTCGGGGGAACACGGGCGTGAACTGCACGCGTCTCGCTGTAACTGTAAGCTGGGGGTGCTGGGCTGGGGAGAGGGAGTACGCTGCACGTTACCCAGGTGGCATTTTATCCTGCAAATCTGGGCTCCTACGCAGTAGATAATCCAGAGAGCTGTCTAGCTATTGCTAGAGCTGCTTTAATTAAGAAAAAAGCACCCCAGGCACTATCTGAGCAGCTCGACAAGGTTAATTGAGCCTCGGAAGAATTAGCCCTGGTTTTATACTGGGGTAGAAGATGGAGATGAAGGGATTTGTCCATGGCCGTGGTAGGGTGTAGTCACTTCGAGGCGGTCAGATCCTGATCTGGGTCACCATGCCTCTGTCTGCAGCAGCAAAGCACCACTCCTACCTCTGATGGGATGATCTCAGCAGCAAACCAGGCTCCTAAATCTGTCACGCTTTTCTTCACAGCTGTTTAAAGATGCCTGGTTACTGCACATGCACACGAACCCCTGGACCTGGCAGCCGCTCAAGGTGGAGAACGAAGACCATGGAGCCCCAGAGCTGTGGTGCCATCCTGCCTGCAGGGTACGGACGCACTGGGGTCTCTGCTCTCTCGTATACATCTGTTGATCTTTATCGCCTGCCCAGAATGCTCCATAACCCCCATATTTTTTTCCCCAGTACAGCATGAAAAGTCATCCTGCCATTTGTAACCTGTTCTCTCTCCTTCTTCTCTTGCAGGTGGGACAGTGCGTTGTGGTCTTTAGCCAAGCTCCCAGTGGGAGAGCCCCGCTAAGTCCCAGCTTGAACTCTCGCCCCTCTCCTATCAGTGCCACGCCGCCCGCCCTGGTCCCCGAAACACGGGAATATCGTTCTCAATCTCCCGTCAAGAACACGGATGAAGCTCCCTGCGTCAACGGCC